CAAAATATCCCTCAAATAGGGAAATTACCCACAATCTGGCATCACTGATCTTTACTAACAGCGAAAGTATTATTCGCCTCATTGCAAAATTTTATACACACAGTTTTGCATTGTTGGATGAAGCCATGCAAATTCACAATTAAATGGTTCGCGCACCAAAATGAGATGGCCCAACCGCGCACTAAATTGAGTAAATATATTTTATTGACGTCGAATCTTTAAATTTTTTACTTAAAAGAGTGTCTTGCTATCGCTTAGTGACCGGTTGGTGCTTGACATCGTATAAACATTATGACCTTGATTGGCTTCTAATAATAATAATAATAACAATAGAGCGGCGATTAAACATATGTACATATGTTAGTGTTTGGCCGAGCTTCTCCTCCGATTTGTGGAGCGCGCCTTGATAGTGTTACACAAAGGGGAGGGACTCCGCACGGCGAGCGTATTTTTATGAGATGCTGTTTTCCATGGCATAACCACAATCGGATGTTCGCCATTGCCTGTCGAGGGTGAACGCCATTAAAAAAAGACTTTTTTAATTTACTTTTTTTTTGGTGTTGGGTTAAACCCGTCAGGAACGTAAGCCCTACACAATGGTAGCGCGCACTGCTAACCGCTACACTAGCGGCCGCCATGATTGAAGAAATTGCTAATATTTTGCTCAATACTGCATGCGCGCGTCGAAAGCTTCGAAATTGAGTTTGCAGTGTTTGCGGTGTGTTAATTATATCATCAAAGTAATTAACGATAACTCCAAAACCGACGAAAGCAACATACATGTAATACATATGCATGTGTGCAGAGATGAATGCTTGTTAAAAGGGTTGTGCACTTGAAACGCTTAAAATGCACTTAAACACTGTATATATCTATGTATGCACGCACATGTGCACATACATAAATTAGGGTCATAAATAATAGTACAAACAGCTATCCTGGCGAAAAGAAAAAATTACATTTTATTGCCGGCCGGTGCCACATAATTGCCGTTTATGAATATTAATTTAAATTTTATTTACATAATGCTTTTAACGCACATATTTTGAGTGTTACTCTTTTTTTTTTTTAAATATACACAAGTTCAGATAAGTATGTGTATGTCATTCTCTGCATATATTTCCATACTTTCTCTCACTTTTATTTGTTAATAATATGTTTTTCTACGCTGTATATTTTCACAGAAATGCGTGAACTTGTGCCACCGATTATGAATGAAAAGGCCACAAGTATAGTGGCGCGTCTGGGCGATCCTGTTGTTGTGCCATATGTGGCCTATGCCAACCCGAAGCCAGTCTATCGGTAATTATTTGCATTTATTATATTGTATACATATACATACATACCTATTTCATACCTACACATCGCACACCGTCTTCAAAAGAGTCGCAACTCAAAATAATACGTTCGCCCGAAAATGCGAAAATCTATTTCGTAGCACATGCTAATCGTATGGACAAGGGCGACTCTTCCTTAGGTTTTTTTTTAACAAATTATAACAAAAATTTGCTCCAGCTTTTGCTGAAAGGTATATAAAAGCTCTGTGTACATTTTTAGCGCATAATTTCAAAAATGCCAAATTTTGAGTTGTGACTCTTTTGAAGACGGTGTGCGAAATGTATGTAAATATATGATACTTATCGTATTGGGTATTTTAACTGCTCACAATTAAATTTTTAAGGGAAAGTATTTGCAAAATTGATTTTATGTGTGGGATGCGATTCAGTGTCATAAATTAAAAAAACGTCGTTAGATGTATGCATATTAACATGAGGTGTGCATCTCGTCCTCAAAACTTATTTTGCCCGTTGCCCTTCACCTCACTTTTTATACCCGAGCGCACTTGTGCACAAGGGTATATTAATTTTGTTCACATAACGGTTGTTTGTAACAGCCAAAACGAATCGAGATAGATATAGACAAATGTATACATAAATGATCAGGATAAAAAAAGAAATCGATTAAGCCATGTCTGTCTGTCCGTCCGTCTGTCCGTCTGTCCGTCTGTCCGTCTGTCCGTGTACACGATAACTCGAGCAAAAATTGAGATATCTCAACGAAATTTGGTATGTAGGTTTCCCTTAATCCAAGGTAGGTTGCTATTGAAAATGGGCGAAATCGGACTGTAACCACGCCCACTTCCCATATAACGGTAATTTCCAGAAATACGAAAACTGCGATATTTTAGTAACTACTGAAGATAAATCACTCAAAATTGGTATTTACAATAATTTTTTGACAAAAAATAATAATATTATACATTTTTGGAAAATGGGCGTAGCCACGCCCACTTATGGTTACATGTGTATATCTTGGTAACCGCTGTACCAATTTCTACCAAACTTGGCACAGTTGTCGGCCTTCGTACAGCATACAAAATCGCCTAAACTTTTTAAAATCGGACGATAACCACGCCCACATCCCATATAACGGTAATTTAGAGAAATACAAAATCTTCGATAAATCAGTAAATATTGAAGCTAATTTATTCAAAATTGATGCTTGCAACAATTCTTTACCAAGAAATACGTTTGTGATAAATTTTTGGAAAATGGGCGTGGCACCGCCCACTTATGATCACATATATGTATCTCAGTAACCGTTCTACCAATTTGTACCAAACTCGGTGTGGTTATTGTGCTTGCCACATATAAGCAAACCGTTGAAAATTATTGAAATCGGACTAAAATAACGGCCGCTTCTCATATAACGGTAAATTTCAGAACTGCTTGAAACTTCAAAATTTCGAAATCTAAGGACTCTAATTTACTCAAAATTGATACGCCCCGGCTTACCATATAGCCGTAGCTTTTGGTAAGGCGAAAAACATATATTTAATACGTGCGCCGGGTATTTAATGTTCGGCTCTGCCCGAACTTAGGCTTTCTTACTTGTTTTAAATACATATATGGCACCTAAAGAGTTTATAAAAATTTTAGAATAAAGAATTTTGGGATTTTGGGACTTTTTCACGATTTTGGGAAATTTAAGAACTATATCGGGATTGTGAAGACCACGTTGGGATTTCTATGACCTTCGTAACCATTTCGCGATTTATGAAACTTCTTCGAGGTTCATACAATTTTTGGGGTTCTCGGGACTATTTCGAGAGTTTCGAGGCTGCTTCGAGACTTAAGATTCTAGGGACTATTTCGGGGTTTTCGAGACCAAATACATCGATAAATATATCAATAAATAGCGGTAATCATATTGAGGCAATAAAAATATCAAGACATATATCGAGAAATATATAAAAAGTTGATTAAAGTATCCATAATAAAGATATCGTTAAATATATCGATAAAATATAATCGATAAAAATACCGATAACCATATTGATAACAATATCTGTAAAAATATCGATAAATATATCGACTTCAAGCTCTACAAATGCAACGAAAATTCCGAAATTTTCCCGAAAATCACGAAATAGTCCTGGGAATTCCGAAGTGGTCTCGAAAATCCCTAAATATTTCCGAGGATCCCGAAATAGTCCCGATAATTTCGAAATAGTTCTCAGAATCCCGAAATTGCCCTAAAAATCTTGATTTAATCCCGAGAATCTCTAAAATCTCAGAATAGTCCCCAAATTGAGGTGTGGCGAATTGAGTTGAGGTAAGGTGCAGTGAATTGTGGTAAAGAATGTAAGTTAAGTTGAGTGTAAGGTAATGCTTGAAACACAATGCCGGCGAACGGCGAAGTTCGCCAAATTGGGCGATGCCCTTGTTCTCCGTTTGCCTTGCTATTTCGCCTTCCTTAATCCAATTAGAACTGTGGCGAAAACAGCTGATACCATTTCGTCGCATTTACAATCGGAGTGACCATATTTAGAAAAACTTAAGCCAAATTTAACGAATCGAAAACTGTACTTTTTACCAACAATGCGGGCTCAAAAACATACGGCCAGCTTTGGCATGTACTGCCGTCACCGTTCAGGAGTGCGATAGAAATAAGTCTATCACCACGAAACGACGCCGAGCGAGCTTCGTGTTTCGCTTTTGATGCCTTCAACTGCATATGCTTGCGGGTGTTCTAATTTTGACAGTGCGAATTTCGCTGTGGTGAGTCCGTCGTTCGCCGGTATTGTGTCAGCCATTAGATGTTAGTTTTTTAAATTTCTGCTAAATCATAAAGCATTTAGTTTTAAAGTATTTAGCCATCGAGAGACTATATACCTCGGTACTTTCGTGAAAGTATTTTGAATCTCCAAGGTATCTGATTAATTTAGAGCAAAGTATTTAGCGCCTGCCAAATACATTTATTTTTTAGATTTTAGTATCTAGCAGGTCCTAAATACCTAAGTTATTTTATTTGTACATCTAACAGCACCAAAATAGGTTTACTTGAGTATTTAGCAAATGTTAAATAACGAAATACATAAGGTTTTTACTGGAATATTTAGACATCTCCAATTAGTGACTCAAATATGTAGTGTCCAAACTGGTACTTTAAATACAAAATTATTTAGGTATACCCATCACTGCTATACAGGAGACAGCTATCAATCAGGACTATAGGATCTCTTATTGTGCGATCGAAACTGGTCAGGGAAGGGCTGACTTCTCTCTTGATAGCCTCTATTATATATACAGGGTGTCCTAGACCACCCACGTTATGTATTTTTATCCTAATAATCCGAATCTGCATTAAAAAAGTGTATATCTAATTTGAAAAAAATTGGCTTTAGGTCAGGTTATCCCAATTCCGGTCGAAACTGGTCGAACCCGGAATTCGGTAATACCACCAAAAGATAGAGCATCCCCGATTTAGTAGGTAAAATTGTTTCGGTTTCAATAAAAAACATTTCCCTTCATTTTAGAGTGAGTGGACGGGCGGTCTAGAACCTATATAGTCCTATATAGGCAGGGCACCCTTGAAGTCATCTCTCCTGACAGGAGAACTACTGTGCCAAGCTGTAGACTGCTGCAAACCAGATGCGCATTTAGACGGCACAGTAATTTCTGGCAAAATGACGCGACATGCAAAGTTGCAAACTCCTTACTTGAGCCAGGAGGGCTGCTTCAGCCGGCTAATCGGTAATTCTCGTTGTAACAAAAGTCTTGTTCAGGCACTGTTTGATAGAAACCCATTCACTGAACTCATTATCGTTTCGGCCCTCATTGTCGTTGTTTTGTAGGGGCCAGGTGAAATAGTTTCCTTTTCAGATGCACTGATTTTGCAAGACAAAGGTTTGGACATCTAGGAAAGTAGGATATTGACACTACCGAAGAGGTCTCTGGAGTAGATATGAGCTGCGTGCGGAACTTTACTTTGAGCTGTTTTCATAAGTTGAGCTGCAGTATATTCCAAGCAGAGGTTTCCGCAGTGAGAAAAACCGCTGAGCTAGCATATTCAATGAATGGAAATAACTGTAAAGTTGACATATGCGTGGATAGTCAAGCAGAGATCAAGGCTATTAGCTCATAACAATGTACGTCACAAAATGCCCTTAGAAGTAGGGAGGCCAAAAATAGGGCAGCAGAAAACAGGCGAAATTGTAGATGAGATTGCGAAGAGCAGAATCCACTGGGAACTGGAACAATAGAATAACATTCCAAAACCTCTAAAAAATCTTTATAACGAAATAGACTAGAGGTTCAAAAACCAGGATATATCGAGATACTAGAATACGCTATCTCTACAGTCATGTGTAGTCTAGTAAACGGGATACAAACCCGGTTTATACTATCCCTTGCGAGAACAGACTGCAATGAAGTTTGCAGGAAATTCATGGGGACGTGAACAAGGGAGAACCTAGTGCACAACCTATGCCTTTCTCCTGCTGTATCAAAAACACGACTGAAATATTTTGAAGTTCCAGACTTTAATAATCTTGAAGACGTTACAGCACTTGGGCTTCAAGCACTAGTCAGATCCTCAAAAAGCGTTGACATCCTAAATGATGTGTCCTTAGAATATACTAAAATAAACCTCTATCTCCATCTGGCATCTGGGCTATGTGGGGCCCAGCCAGCCATAATAACCTAACCTTATCTAAAGGCTTTATTAAGTGCGATTTTCACAAAAATTTTCGATTTATAAAGCATTTAAGGTATTCATTTTTTATGAATAAGGCCATTATCCTTTAACCATGAGCATAGCTAATGGATACTCGTTCACAAATACATACATTATCTTCTCTCCGTGTGGGAAGAATCAACCAACAGCAAGGAACTCATGGAACTAGACAAAGATAAGCCTAACCAAGAAATATAAAGTAATTAAAGAATATGTGGTAGGGCAACAGGGGCTTTTAACGAATAGTATATGCTTTGAAATAAAAGATTTCCTGAATTTAACCTGAGG